CGCCCAGCCCGACACGCACTGCACATACCCATGTACCCCCACACAGCACCTCTACACAAACCACTTCGGGGGTCACTGAGGCTACCACAGTCGTCTTTTCCCCAAGTGCTCTCCCCGGGGGGACCCATAGCTTGGGAACAACGCGCACCACGGAAGTGAGCGACGGGAGCATAGCCTCAGCTTCTCCCACCTCTTCGGGGGTAACTCCCAACCCTACCTCACAGTCTAGTAGTACCGTGTACGCTCCCGCCTCAACCACAGCATCCACAAGTGCTCTCTCCCGTGAGACAAGCAGCCTTCCAAGTCGACACAGCTCCCCTGCAGGCGCAACTGGCACATTAGGCCATGTGAGTTCCAGCACAGCATCTGCCAGTACTGCCTCGGCGGATGCAGAACTCTCCCCAACCACACCCAGCCCGACACACACAGCACACCCCCATGCACCCCCACACAGCACCTCCACACAGACCACTTCCGGGGTGAGTGAGGCTACCGCAGGCGTCTTTTCCCCAAGTGCTCTCCCCGGGGGGACCCATAGCTTGAGAACAACGCGCACCACGGAAGTGAGCGACGGGAGCATAGCCTCAGCTTCTCCCACCTCTTCGGGGGTAACTCCCAACCCTACCTCACAGTCTAGTAGTACCGTGTACGCTCCCGCCTCAACCACAGCATCCACAAGTGCTCTCTCCCGCGAGACAAGCAGCCTTCCAACTCGACACAGCTCCCCCGCAGGCGCAACAGTCACAGTAGGCCATGTGAGTTCCAGAACAGCATCTGCCAGTACTGCCTCGGCGGAAGGAGAACTCTCCCCAACCACACCCAGCCCGACACAAACAGCACACACCCATGCACCCCCACACAGCACCTACACACAGACCACTTCCGGGGTGAGTGAGGCTACCACAGGCGTCTTTTCCCCAAGTGCTCTCCCCGGGGAACGCAGAGCTTGAGAACAACGCCCACCACAGAAGAGAGCGATGGCAGCGTAGCCTCAGGTTCTACCACCTCCTCGGGGGTAACACCCAGCCCTCCCTCACAGGCTAGTAGTACCATTCACACTCCCGCCTCAACCACAGCATCCACAAGTGCTCTCTCGCATGAGACAACCAGCCTTCCAACTCGACACAGCTCGCCCGCAGGCGGCACAGTCACAGTAGGCCATGTGAGTCCGAACAGAATATCCGCCAGTACTGCCTCGGCGGAAGCAGAACTCTCCCCAACCACGCCCAGCCCGACACGCACTGCACACACCCATGCACCCCCACACAGCACCTACACACAGACCACTTCCAGGGTGAGTGAGGCTACCACAGGCATTTTTTCCCCAAGTGCTCTCCCCGGGGGAATGCATACCTTCAGAACAATGCCCACCACGGAGGAGAGCGATGGCAGCGTAGCCTCAGCTTCTACCACCTCCTCGGGGGTAACAAGCAGCCCTCCCTCACAGGCTAGTAGTACCGTGCATGCCCCCGCCTCAACCACAGCATCCACACGTGCTCTCTCCCGTGAGACAAGCAGCCTTCCAACACTACACAGCTCCTCCGGAGGCGCAACCAGCACAGTAGGCCATGTGAGTTCCAGCACAGCATCTGCCAGTTCTGCCTCGGCAGAAGCTCACGTCTGCCCAACCACGCCCAGCCCGACACGCACTGCACACACCCATGCACCCCCACACAGCACCTACACACAGACCACTTCCAGGGTGAGTGAGGCTACCACAGGCATTTTTTCCCCAAGTGCTCTCCCCGGGGGAATGCATACCTTCAGAACAATGCCCACCACGGAAGAGAGCGATGGCAGCGTAGCCTCAGCTTCTACCACCTCCTCGGGGGTAACAAGCAGCCCTCCCTCACAGGCTAGTAGTACCGTGCATGCCCCCGCCTCA